GTGAGGATAACACCGACTTTAACAACACCAATCTACCCGTCATTGACAAAGAAGAAGCTTTCCAAAAAGCTAATTTCTTATTAAACTTATGGATGTCCAGATCCCAAAGAACCTCGGAATTTTTCTTTGCACCTAAAGGAATACCAAGATACACCGTAGGAAAAGATCCCACTGCACAACCAGCCGCGATAGCCCATTCATTTAAGATGACATCTTCAATATTAATGACATACAAATTACTCTTAGAAAGATTCAAATGATGCCTGCTATAAGAATGAAAATCCTCAGCACTCTCCTATTATTTAAAATGTGAGTAGGAGAATCTTAGCAGAATAAGATAAGATCATCAGCAAACTGTAGGTGTGTTAGTTGGAAAAGATCAAACCTACCAATAGTGAACCCTTCAAAGAGGCCCAGATCAGCAGCTTTAATCAGCATAAGATTAAGAAGTTTCCCAACTATATTAAAAAGAAGAGGGGACAAACTACAACCTTGTCTCAACCCTTTAGCCATCGGAAATTCCTCTGTTGGAGATCTATTCACTAGGACCGAGATTGATGCAGAAGATAGACAATACTCTATCCATGAAACCCATCTCTCACCAAAACCCATGACTTTCAATAATCTCAGGAGAATCGGCCATTCCACCGAATCATATGTTCTACGAAAGTCAACTTTGAAGACGACCCCTTTCAGCCCCTTGCTTCCTCCAATAATTAATGCCTTCATTTGTAAGAAAGGAACAATCTAACAGTTGTCTACCAGGAATAAAGACAAAATAGGAAGGAATCAAAATATCTTTAATAACTGAAACAAGTCTTTTCGATAAAACTTTGGAGATAATTTTGTATAAACTACGTACGAGACTTATTGGCATGTAGTCTTCAATACATTCAGGATTAATTTTCTTTGGGATCAAAGATATAAAGGCATGATTAACCCCATGATCCCATTTCCTTCCATAATAAAAGTCATCCACAAACTTCATAATTTGCACCTTTAGCGTAGGCCAAAATTTCTTGAAAAAATCTCATAGTAAAACCATCTGGGCCAGGGGATTTAGCACTGTCCGAAGAGAAAATGACCTCCCTGACTTTCTACTCTGAAAAATTATCCTCAAGACTAGCCCTTTGCTTGGCTCTCAATTTTGCAAAGTTAAGTTGAATGTCATCTACATCCAGAGTAGCTTTTAAATTATAGGTTTTCTTGAAAAAATCTGAGATGTAGGTCTTAATCTGATATGGATCTGTTATTTCCTCACCAACTACCTTCAATGCAGAAATGGCATTGATTCTATTTCTGTTTAGAGCACATAAGTGAAATAACCTCGTATTCTGTCACCATATTTTATCCATTTCATCATTGACTTCTGGAGCCAAATACTTTCTTCAGTAATGTGCATTTTCCATAACTCATTTCTCAAGAGCAGTAGATGATCCCAATCTAGTGAAGAAATCCCACTACCTTGCAATTTCACTTCCAAGTCATTTATTCTGCTTTCCAATTTTGAAATAGATTCTAAAATCCCCACTTGATTTCCCCTGGGCCATCTCCTGATCACCTTTTTAGTTCCTTGTAATATGCTGAAAAGTCTCATTATCCCATTATCCTTTTTCAAATCATTCATGGATTTTTCAACCATGTCTTCAAAACCATCTTCCTCTAACAGGTAATTAAAAAATCTAAAAGGTTTAGGGCCCCAATTTTTGCACTCTTCTTCCAACACTATCGGATTGTGATCAGAGAGGGATTTAGGATGAATTCGCTAAATAACTTTTGGAAAGCAATTTAAATAGTTGCCACTGATTAAGAAACGATCGAGTCTTACCCATGTAAGAGACTCTCTATTGTTGCACCAAGTGAACCTACTTCCTAATAAAGGAAGATCTATTAGATTTTATTGTTGCACAAAAGACCTAAGCAGTTCCATGGAATGCCAATTCTGTGTAACTCCACTTTTCTCTTCTGGATCAAGATATGTATTGAAATCACCCTCGATGCATACTGATAGATTTAAACTTTGTACAAAGCTCGACAACTCCCTAAAAACTCCTCTTTTTCAGCCTCTACTAACGAGCCATAAACATTTATTATAACACACTCAATATTTGACACCTTGAACTTTCCTGACAACGCCAAAAATCTTTTGTGATTATGTTCACTACTAACTTCAAATAAATTCTCATTCCACAAGCACATCAAGCCACCTGCATACCCATGAATTGGATGGAAACTTCCACCTTTCAACAGATTATCCCCTAATTTCCTGCTTAGCCTATTTTGACATTTATTTATTTTCGTCTCCTGTAAAAGTAATAAGGCCGGTTTATTTTTATTTACAAGTCTCGCTACTACTCTAATTTTTTTATTTTCTCCCTAGACCCCTTAAATTCCATGAGATAATCTTAAAGTTTGACATTGACATATGAATACCTAAAAAATAGAATCAAGCAGAGGCTTACTATTCAAAATTCTTTTGTAGACCCCCTCAATTCCATCTTCAAGATCTCCTCTTCTAAGATATGTTGCCCCCTTTAAAAAATCCACAACATATTACAAACCTCTTGAGTAGCAACAACTTCATCTCTCGCTTTAAAAGAGGAATGGGAAGACTTTAAAGAAGCCATATCCTGTTCTAGAGACTCCCTAACCTTGCTTCTATAATCCATTTTATAAACTCTATCAAAGAAGCTTATTGACTTACCACCCTCCAAGCACACACTTCCTGAACGTCGGGGAGAAAATCTTGAATGATTATGATGGCTGAAACTCTTTGACCGAGAAAGAAACGGTACATATTTTTGGAAGGAGGACTTCTGATTTTCCTTTGCTTTAATATGTTCTTTTGTAATAGGCACTGGTATGTTTACATCTTCGTTCACAAACTTGCTTGTTTTTGAACCCGAAGTCGAGTTGCTTTCCGTATTAAGGCTAAATTGATTGTTAGCCATATCAACCATAATCTTTCGAGAAGTATCCCTTTGATCGGAGAGTACTTTTCTCCCACAGACAACATCCGGTTTAGTCCTTTTTGAATTGTCCCTAGCATTAAAAGACTATGTATTGGAAACAAGATCCCCTTCTTTTCGCCTCAGGACAACTGTATGATTTCTACCTAGAACAACAACCTCTTCATTTCCTTGCAATGCTTCTTCCCCACCTATATTTTCCCTCACCAACTCCTCTTCTCCCTCATTTGAAACTTCCACAGAAAAAACTGAATTCTTATTAGGCTGGGGTAGAAATTGACTCAAAGAATTTTTTTCCCTACCCCAACCCATTTTAGATGTAACCTAATTTTCATCCAGTTGGGCCTGAGGATCCGGTTTATATTCTTCCCTCAGCCCCAAACCCACGTGTTTCCTAATCTGGTTTGTCCTCTCCTCCAAAAAATCTAACAGCCCACAATTAAGAGATTTTTTGGTTTACTTTCTCGATTGAACCTGTCCCCCATTAACCCCATTCAACCACTCTTTTGTCCTTTATCCAGCCACATACTCACCTTAAGCCTAGACTCCTCTTCTATCTTCTGATTTTCAAATACTACCAAAGTAGGACAATTACCATCCTCTTCCACGGACAAGACATCATCACTGTGCCAATTTTCTAAATTTTCCTCCACCATCTTCCCCGATAATTGTTCTGGTTTTTTCAAAACATACCCCAAAGTAATATTGACTTTAAACGATCTGCCATAAGACCCAACTGTGACCGTTTCAAGGGCATCAAAGGGATTGGCCACACTGATCAGAATTTTCGTCGATGAGAGATCTGCTCTACTCTTTGACTTATCTTTAAAACAAATAAATTTACCTCATCTCCCAGTAAGTTTCTCCAAGAATGCCTCATTCCAACATAATAAAGGAATTCCATATAACTTTACCATGCAAAACGGCAATGGAACGCCCTCATCGTTCAACAATGGAGCCAACCAATCAAACCATAATAAAAGCTCAATCTTTCTTATTCATCCACACATTTGAATATTCTTCAACCGACTTGAACGTAATGGTACAAGCGTTCCATGCATAACCCCATATCGTTATTTTTACTTCAACTTCCTCTAACTCCAATGCTTTCTGTATCAATTCCTGATCAAAGGATGATTTGATTATCCCTGTTAAGGATCGCTTCACCTAATCCGAATCTTCCGTAGGAATATACATCTCCCAGACATTCCTCACTCCTTTTGCAGCATGCTTTGAACCCTCCATGTTCCCCCCTGAAACTGGTTCACTTCTCATTTTATTATCCATATTCAAAACATCCTTATACGATCTGTCATCCCTCATGCTTCTGAAAGACTCAACATCCCCCTGATCTTTGATATTTCCTGTTTTTGTGACTTAGTGCTTTCCAGCATCATCTTGCCTTCAGCAGCTACTCTTCTCCGAGTATTTTGATATTTTGCAATCCCCACATTGACTCTTCTCCCATCAATCCACGTTCCATTGATAAATTGGATTGCCTTCTTTCTACATTCTTCGTAAGCATATTAAACAAAAGCAAAGGTTAAAGATTTGTATTTTGGTTTCTCTGTAAACCTTGGGATGAATATCCTCACAACTTGACCATAATGACAAAAAAAATTTCCTTAACGAACCTCTTGATACCCTCTTACTAAGATTATTAACGAAGACAGTCTATTCCTCATCGAAGACATTAGTCCCTTTCAAATTTTCTCTCTCTATACCTCTCGCACTCATTCTCTCTCACATAACTTACAATGCAGATAATTTATAATGCTCAAAGTTGGAAGTTCAATTACAAGAATTTTTATTGTGATGAGAAAATTACAAATTCTTTAAAATCGAGTGTTCATTTAAGTAGTTTACCAAAACTTTACTTGAAAGAGTTAAACATCAACTTTGTTATTCAGATTCAACGTACCCAAACTCATAACCTCCCTAGATGCCTCTCTCCGCTTATTCTTTCTTGAACCATCAAAAATGAAGGGGGAAAAAACAGAACCCATTGTAATAGTGAAAGAGTAAACAAAATTGCCAGAAGAGAACAGTAACAATAATTGCCCAATAATTACATACATTTTGATTTTTCCTCTATCCTAAATAGTAGGCATTATGAGCAAGATTTTTGCCTATCAGATCAAAATTAGAAACCAAAACCATTCCTCACAAAATCCTCTTCACCGCTGCTAAAAGATTCAACCAACTGGCTGTCATCATCATCACCCTCACCCTCGGTCACAATCTCCAATATCTCACCTCCACCATTGAAGTCTTCATCATCCATGATAAAATCCCCATCATCATCGTCATCGAGCCCGCTCACACTGTCATCATCTTCACTGCTCATGTCATCTGCATCACTCTCCCCCTCCCCATTGACATCTGGCCCAAGTATTGGATCTAAATCAACATCGTCGTCATCTTCATCATCCTCATCCTCATCACTTTCTGCATCATCAGGATCAGAATCATCATCAGTTGGCCTTCGACGACCAATTTCATACACTCTGGCTGATGAAAACATCTCTTCTTGGTCATCCATTGTAATCAACCCAACAAAGGAATCAGTTGGTTCAGTTGCAAAGTCAAGAACACATCGATCCACTGGAATAGTTGCAATATCAGAGTAGTTAATGGCATCTAATGTGCGGAAAGCAGCAAATAGAGGATGCTTCACACGACGGGTGTGAACTGCTGACATCACGTCTTCAAGATTTCTCCTCAGGATTGCATAAATTACATCCCCGCGTGCATTGAAGGTAATTGCTGTTTGATCTAAAGAAGGTACACTTCGAAGTAGCCTGAACTTCCTCAAATCCCAAACCTCAGAATTTATTATAACCTGTTGAAAGTTAATTATCAACCAAAGATCAAAAGAAAACATCTTTAAGAAAGATTCAATTTAGCAGACCACACACACGAATCTAAAACAAGATTTTGCATCGCAAAGAAAATAAAAGAACCAAACCAACTTAAGCAGTTTCAATGGGCAAGTTCCCATTGCGCTGTTCATTCAAACAGACCATCCTAGTGAACCATCTAGATTAAAGACTTAAGATACCACAAATAAATAATGTAAATGATGTCTAGTGAGAATTCTTTCACATAATAGTGTGTTTAAAGAGGCAGCACCTGATAAAACACAACACAGATAGAATACCAAAAAGAAAATAAACCTGAGATAGGATCAGAGTTCAATACCTCGTTCCCAGCAGGATGAAAGCCACCACCACCATAATCAGTAAACTGATCAAAGCGATGAACAGGACCTGGAACCCGCCGATCCCATAAAACACCATTCCAGAGAAGCATGGTATCAGATGGACTAAAATGTATAAGAGAATATATATGACCACGACCTGTAGAATTAGCCGAGGCATCAGAGAGCTTCAGTTCCAACTGATAGGTCAGGATATCATAAAGAAGAATTTCTCTCTCGGTGGAATCAGCAGATAGGGCAGCAAAAGTGCTCCCAGAATTGCTGAACCTAGCAGCCTTGCAGCCATCAAATGAAACCGTCGCCCCACCAGAGAACGAAGAGGCATCCCACAACCGCACATCCTGAGAGCTTGATGATAGAACCATCTGGGTTTCACCAGAAAAATATGACTGAACAAGAGTCACAGGAAGCTGGTGCCCCGAGCAGTTGTCCAGAATATTGTTGCTGTTAGAATCAAAAATTTTTAGCTCGCCAGCATGACTACCTGCTGCAATATGGGAGGAGTCCCCCAGAAAACAGACACACGTCAACAAACTGCCAGCATCATCCCTACATGTTCTCCATGGCCTGAATCTACTGTAAACAAACTGACGATCTATACGATTTCCATGGACTCCACCATACACACTCCTGAACTCACGTGTACCAAGTCGGGAAGTGATGTTTGATGGTGCATCAAGACTTCGCTTTGGCATAGGGCAAACATGCGGATGCAAAAGAGAAAGTGGTGGAAGAGTTGTTATAGGTGCAGGGCACTGACGATGCTGGTGCTTTAGATATTGAACAACAATGCTGTCAAGACTTAGACGTTCTGAGTTGCTGGGTTGGGGATCATTTAGAAGTCCAACTTGGGAGGAAGGTGTCATCTGTCCCACATTAGAACTACCATATGGGTTGTCATCTGACAAATCAAATAAGCTGTTTGGTGTTGCTCGAACATGCTGATCCCTCATGTTAGAAGTTGGTGTCAATGCTGAAGCATCTGTAAGCAGTAAGTTTCTTCGAGTAGTATTGGGTGTCAAACAAGTAGGGGACCTCGGCCAATGATCACCAGTGGATCGCTTCCCAGATAATGTCAAACCAGTATCCTTTAACTCGGATAACTTTCTTTTCATCGGCAACACAAGAGGAGTCTTAAAATTCGATTCTGAATCAAAGTTACTTTTCATTGTAGATTCAGTCTTTTCTGAAACACTTGGCAGTAGAGGACATGGCTTTGAACTAGTGAGTGCTTTCCTGACAGATGGTGGTTGGGAAGCTTGAGAAAGGAAGTGGTTTTTTTGTTGTGACCCAAAAGTGGGAGAGAAAACAAGTGATTTCTTCTTTAAAGATGAAGTTGAATCACACTTCAAATTAATATCTTCATCCCGAACAGAAATCTTGGATCTGCTAGAGAGAAATCCACCAGGGGTACGACCTGAGGGCCACTGGAGTTGGATTGAAGGAGCATCTTGCACGGAAGCTTGGTGTGCAAGAGATGAAGGGGCAGCCAAGGATGACAAAGGAGTCAATTGAGCTTCTTTCAGAAGTGCAGCTGCAGTTTCAGCCAGACCAGATGCCTGCAGATGTTCATGTATGAGAAGCAAAAGCTCCCTGCAGTTGGAACAGCAAATACATACACCAGAACGAATAAACAACATTACTACGAATCAAAACAGATAAGTAATGGAATACTAAACGACTGTATGAGTAAATTAGATGATAAATCCGTAAATATCACAGGAACAATTACCTGGAATGGTAAGTTATAGGAGTGGCAGCGGCAATAGCAGCTCTCTCTATACGCCTCAATGTCGGTGTAGCAGCATCTGTAGCTGCCAATGTACTTGCACGCCCAGAATTTGTAACAATCTAGCAAAACATTGATAAAAGCTAATAATTAGTATCCTAAAACTCCAAGTGAAAGTAAAACCACAAAAATTATGGCTACGAGTGCCAAAAACTCCTGAACTTTTTTTGCACCCAATTAAACCTTTATACTTCAAAATTTCATCAATTTACCCCTTTGACCAACTTGAATATTAAATCTAATAGATTTTTTTTGGATCAGTTGGTGCCAACATATCATGTAACAATGTTGCCAAGTGGCATTTTCAAAATTTATTAAGCTTTACATAAATTTTTATAAATTTTTTTAAATTAGAATTTCAATAACTCTTTTTAGAATTTCTCTTTAAAAATCTAATTCCACATGACAGAAAAAATGTGTATCATGTACCATTTAAAAAATTTATTTTCTCAGTTCGAAGGCTTAATTGATTTAATTTCCCGGTTTGAGGGCTTCATGCACCCTTAACCCAAAAATTATTTTCATGAGTGAGACATTGGGCTTAAAGTTAAACATGTTTGAGAGAAAAATAAAAAAACACATAATATCACCATCTATAATAATACCTTTAGAGCAGTTAAATTGATATCAATAAAACAAATAAACATACATGCTCACAGAGTATCATAGAAGAAAGATCCTACAACTGGTGGCAAGTTAATCTGAAATCAGTTATAATATGTAGGGCATATGATGTTAATTCTGCAACTAAAGAAAATAAATTATGCTTGAACAGTGGCTCAACATTTTTGTCCATAAACCATATATTTTGTGTTTTGTTGCAAGAAATATTAATTTTCAAGTGTTTATGATAGACAATTCTATATGAATTACTATGTTATTGGATGTTAGAGGGTTCATCACAAGGTAAATAATGTATACATCCAAAAAATACTGCATCATCTCTAAAGGTCAATAATAAAGAAGCTTTAATATCCCATTCAAGAAAACCATGTTGTAAAACAGAAACTGTTCAAAACTCAGGCCAGGAAATGACAAGAACAGCTTTTAACATATATTATTTTAATTACTTGGCCAAGAGAAACCACGACCTTGCAGTAGAAGAAAATATCCTATAACAAAAAGCTGCATGCATCCAGTCTCAAGTAGCCAATAAGGATACTTACAGCAATCAGCTCAATTGCCACCTGTGCAAGTTCAGATTGCCATCTGCCTTGTTCAGTTCCCGGTGTCATGCCACCTGAATCTCGAATCAGTTCAGATAGTTTCTTTCCCACCTAGAACAATGATGAGTTGAAACTAGTGGCATTAACTGATGTACCATCATAAAAAAATTATTATAACAACTTTCGAAGTAAGCAATTAGAAAGAGAGAAGCAATGGACTCTAGAATGTAGAGAAATATGACATAGTAAAAGAGTACTAAGTAAAACTACAAAGAGGATAGTAATCAAATAGAATTTGGCAAAACCATGTTTTACCTGAAGCTTGGTCAATATATGAGCAATTGCCTCATCTCTAGCTAAACCAAGCAAGACTCGACATGCAAGAGCCCGAAGACAATCCAAAGCAGCAGGAGGTGAATATATTCGGGGTTGGAGAAGATGCAGTAGAACCTTTATGCCATTATTGGCCCGTACAACCTCTCTTGCTTGACGATATCCTTGTTCTAGTTGTGCAGCAAGGCCAGCACAACCTGCTCCAGCACCTAAGGATATTCTCCGATCTCCAACCAAACCAGATGAAGCAGCAGAAACAGGTGTTTGATTAATACTGTTGGTGGATTGGGTGCCTGCTGCAGTGCCCCTATCAACCAAACTCGATTCTCCACTTCGTTCCCTCATCTCACTCTGATTAGGCAGGAAAACAGCTCGATCCGAAATATTGCGTTCTGCATTTCTAGTTTCAACACCAAGACCATTTGTGGTTTGACCAGAAGCAGATTGCTGACCTTGAGCTAGTAAGGGTGGTTTATTGCTGATTGAAGGCGGAGGACAAACTAGATTAATTAACACACTAAGGGCCGGTTGTATAATCTGCGATCAAACAGTAAAAAGGAGGTGAATATTAGTGGCTAACACAGTAAAATACAAATCAAAGTCTACTTCCAACGTCCAAAAATAGCAATCTCTACTTTCAAAGCCATAAACGCAATATCACAAAAAGGGCCTCATTTAAGCACTGGTGTTTTTTGCTAAAATAAGAATAACAATAGGAACATTCCAATGTAATAACACATGCGCACCTCAGGGTCCACAAGACTACTAGCACTATTTGCTGCATCCAAAATAACCGCTATGCCAGCACGATTATTACTCAAAGTGGCATTTACAATCATCTTGCGGCTGATAGGAACCAAAGTAACAATGTGCAGAACACCTAATGCATACTGTAGCAAGTCATGTAGATAACGCTCAATGGGAGGGGCCTACAAAGATTACAAGAGGAATACATAACCAAAATATGAGGCAGAAAATGACAACCGAAGGGCAAGGGCAGACAGGGGACTGATATGGAAGTACAAAGGATACCTGGCACAATTCCAACATGGTAACATGCCCATTACATCTTAAGAATTTATCAACAGCTGGCCAACGAGTCCTTACAAAAGCAGGACCCAGCTTCCGGTCCTTCTGCAACTGCAGAAACACAGCATCCATGGCCTCATTGCTAATGTCAAGTGGCTTGTATGCTGCCCTGGTGCTTGGAATACTCCGTGCTCCACTCCGGTTACTTTTATTTGGGCGTATGGAATCCACAAGCAAAAGAAGATGAGCTCTGAAGTATTGCCGCAAAGCCACGCATGCATGATAGGCTATCTGCTTTTCTGAAGAAGTCAGTACCTCTGATGGCGATCTCTCATTTCGGAATGACGCTGTTCCAGACAAGCCTAATGTGCCAGAATTTGCCCCAGATCTTACCAAGGCAGCATCATTTAAAAGGCGCAATAACTTCTGCAAACCATCTTGAGCATCAAAAGCATCAAGCACTGCTCTAAAGACGAACGCAGCAGCAAAAAATAGTGCAGCATTTTTCCTAACTTGGTCCTGAGGGCATTCAAGAAGTTGGATAGCTAACTCAACCACCTGGTGGACAACATCAGAAGGAAGTGCACAGACACGTTCCATTATTCCCTACAATGACATGAAGAAAAGGACATGAAGAAAATAACATATTAGTGGTCCCTCGCATGGCATCTAAATTTAGGAAATGAGAAGAATATATAGGTTTCATAATTTACAAAACTTGAGTTCCCACGTATTACCTGTAAAGAACCTATAGTAAATAGGCAAGAAGAAAGACCAAAATAATTTTGAGGAACTCTCGGAACAGAAAGCAGTTTTTGCATGCCACCCCGATCAACAAATAATGCAGCAAACTTCCGATGGGCTGCCAAAGCACAAATTAGCTTCATCACATCAGGCAAGAGAGAAGTAGCCTTTGCTGCTTCTTCAATCTTGGAACTTCGTTGCAACAGGGCTAGACAGACATCTACACCCTTTTCATGCAGTACAGGCCCAAGGACTTCAACATATTCACCTAAAGTCTCAAGGCATTGAATACAATATCTTTCTTTCAATTGTGCAAGCTGCTCAGCATTGGGAACAAAATACTCCTCAACATCCTCGTTTACTTCTTTTTCTGCAGCACTTTTATCTACTAGATCCAAACTTACGGCAGTGGAGTCCCTGTGAACAACAAATGAGGTCCTTTCCAATTGCACTAAAATAATGAAAACCAAAATATGACAGCAGAATTGCATGTAATATGACTCCGAGAAGTCTGTCAACGAGAAATACTCACCTTGAAACTTCAACAGCATTAGCAGCATCAACAACAGTAGCCGCTGCTTGGGAAGCAGCCAACAGAGCAGCTTCTTCATTATTAGTAGTTTTAAACTCCTGAGGATAGAAAGGAGATATGATGGATCACTCAAGCAAATCCAAAAACAAATTGTTTTGAGGGGTAACGGAAAAATGAAAAGAGCAGAATAATGAGATCAGCCACATACCTCTAAAGCTGCGCACTTGACAACTTCAGCTGCAGCTTCGCCAGCTGCTTTGATGGCTTCAACAGGTGCATTGGCTGCCCTAGCTTCAGCTTCAGCAGCTCTAACCGCTTTTTTAACCAGATCAGAGAAATCTTTACTTCCAACTCTACATCCTTGAAAGCATTCATCATTATCCTCTCTTTCCACTACCAGATTATCAGCATCGGTCTTTCCCGCACCCTTCTTTGCCTCCGGCGTCTTTCTCATATCTAAATGCTTAGATGCACTTCTCTCTCTCATACTATGTGCCAATCCAAAACGACTTCCAGAGCTTGGTGAGGTTAATGATTGTTCATTCTCCATAATACCTTCAGAAGTCCTTCCCTTAACCTTTGACCTTGCTGATCCACGGTTTATCTTGCGCCTGGAGGATTCATCTCTCCCATTTTCATCAACTTCACCATTTCTCAATTTTCCATCACGAATATCTCGAATATGCCATCTTTCCTCACTATCAGCATCCACATCATGCATGTAAACCCCCTCACCTACCCCATCAGGTAGTTCTCGATCCTGTTCGGGACAATGGTCATCTAAAGGTTTCTCATCTATTAGTCTGGGAACATCCGTTTGAGTTGTCTCTAGAACCTGCCGAATCCTCCCTCGACCTTCATCTCTACTTCTGAAAGAGGAAGCGCCAGATAGGCTCTTACTTTCAGATAAATGGAAGGCATCATTTTGAATTGCAAAAATCTCCCCAAGGACACGCACACGAAGATAGCGCATAAGCTTAGCGGACAATCCAGAAGTCAAGACATCTTCTACCACTTGACCACCACTGCAATATTCAATAAAGGCAAGAATGGTCAGGGGAAAGGAACGTGAATAATAGATGAATTACAACACAAGCCACATTAGAACAGGAAAAAGAGAGAAACAAAAATATTGAGATAGGAGCAGACCTTGCCAAACACACTGCAAGAAGTCCAGTGGAATAGGTTCTTAAAATTTTAGCATCTGAGGTTTCATTTCTTGTCAATTCATGCTTGCAATTCTGATCTTCAATAGAAGATCTAGGAGTCTCGTTCATTACCCAAGCTTTGATATTCTCTAAAACCGGTTCTTCAAAAACATGAGGATACTGCGACCCATTTACAGATCAACTGTTCAGAAAACATCCTATAAAATTGAGAGAAACTAAATATATTTGACAAAAAAAGAGAATCTTACAATCCAAGTAACAGAACAGCTTAGAAGAAGTCTAGCAGCAGCTGCCTGGACAGCGGTAGAACATCGACTCTCAGAAAGAAACTTTGACGATATCAAATCAAAAAATTCATCATTCTCCTGAGAGAAAAGGGAAATGCTCCAAGTAAGAACTTTTTTCAAAAGAATAACAATGTTCTCAAAAATCATATCATGATACAATTCAGTATAACAACAAACTTATATTGCATCAAAAACAAAAATGATTATGGTAAAGAAAAGTTAATTACCCTGATTAAGTTCGCCAACTGTCCAACGTTATGAGAAGCACGACCATTGCTGGAAGAAGGACCATTCTCTTCAAGGCATCTAAAACTAAATATAAAGAAAATTCAAACAAAAAAATTGCACATGCAAGAATCAAGATTTATACCCATATGAAAATAAATATTTAATAGTACTAGATTATTTTTAAAATAAAAGCAATAGGACATAACTTCTCATCCAAGCATTTACATGTCAAACCTCCTAACTTAAACATTTATTGTATGCAGTCTGTTATGGCTCATGTTGAAACATAAAGAAGTCTTCAAACCTTGTTTTCTTTCTAGGGAACCAGAATTGGAATTTTTCAGGTAGCACGGCTAAAGCCAACACTTTTCCATCTCTAAATTATATGCTTAATAAGACTTGGTAAGTAATTAATTTCGCAACATAGCATTGGAAATAATGATGGGCATATATAAAAGTATACAATCATATTAAATTAAAATGCAATAATTTGCTTAGCGTGGCTGCTTAGTAGAAATAAATTTAGGAAGTAAAAAAAGAAACATTTAGCAAAACTAATAAATTGAGAGAGAGAGAGAGAGCGTACAGAGACTCTTGCGTTTCAAGAAGGGAGGCGAGAGCATGGAGCACCGTAGGATTAGGGTTATCGGCAGAAGAAGTGATCTTCTCCATGAGAGCCTGCGCTTTTGCCATCAATTCATCATCTTCCTTCCGCCCTTCTTCTTCTTCCTCCTCCTCCTCCTCCTCCTCTTCCTCCTCTTCCTCATCGTCTTCTTCTTCCGCTTCTTCTCCTTCTTGGTGTTGCTGCTGCTCTCTTTCTGCAGGTCGGTGCCCTTCCGTTTGATTCTGATCATCATTTTGATTGGGATTGGAATTAGGATTGAGATTGGGCGGTTGCCCTAGGCTTTGGCTCGACATAGCATCCATGCCCGAGCTGCAAGAAAAAGGAAACGATACACGGTACGCTATGCTACTAATGAAATTACTATGATGAAAAGCAAAGGCCAAGAATCAAATCAATAACACTGAAGGTGATGATAGGTTCGGAAGGTGTAAGGAGTAGAGACAAGGGTTGTTTTCTTCGACGTGAGTCGCGAATGGAAACTGGAAAAACCCGTCCCCTCTCTATTTTTCGCATTTATAAGCAACAGGGGAGGGCAAAGGGATCCGAAGCTTCCCGATTATACCCGACCCATAGCCCACTACTGTCCGGGTCTGAATCCGATTCTTTTGTGTATTTTATACTATTTTTTCTAACTTGGTTTATAATCCGTATTCCGTACAGTTATTGTTATGTAGAATTATGGGTAGATTAAAATGTAATATTTATTCAAAATGTTTATTAATTATTAATAAAATATACATAATTTGTAAACATAACTATTTGAATAATAATGAATTAATCGAGACTTAAAAAATTAATTACTAAAACTTTAAATTTTATATATATAAAAATTAGAAACACTGTTAAAAAATTAAAAATATATCACAATTTATAAAATGATGAATTATATATTATTTAAAAGAAATTAAATATTTAAAATAAGCATATATCATACATAAAAATATACATGTAACGTATAGACATATCATTAACAGCTATAAAAAGTATTCTTACTAAACTAGTCAAGACTTACGACTTTTGTATCTAAATATAATTAGAAAACATAGTAAGTTTTTCATATCAATACACACATTTAGTAATATTTTAAACAATTCTAAGGATTATTTGTAAATCATTGTGCATCGTATAATAAATTAGTATATAAAGCGACGATTAAAAATTAATTGAAATACAACTAAATGTATATATTGATGCAATAATTTATAATGTTTTTTAATTGTATTTAGATACAAAATTCATAAGTCTCGACTAATTCAATCAGAGTACTTTGTATATGTGTTGATGATATTATTGTATGATAATGAAATAATATTTAGTATGTGTACATAAATGATATAAAAGTGTATGACATCTTTAGTGATGATTAATATGTATATGAAATTAAAAACATATTAAGTTTATTAATTTGAGTATATATATATGATTGATTTACTTTTATGGCTATATGCTACATGTATATATTATAGATAATATATTTTTAATATATTTAAATTTTGTTATAATTTATAACTTATCAATTTATAGTTCATGATATATTTTATTTTTAGTAGTATATTTTAATATATATGTATATTTAATTTGTTTAAACAATTCATGATACATTTATGATTTTTGCATGATTTAAGATATTATTGTATTTGGATGTTTTGATTATTTTAGATTTTTAGGACTTCATATTTTGAATGTTTTGGTTATTTCAGATATTTTGCTTATTGCATGGGCTTTTCTTATGACACTTTTATGGATTTATGGATTTTTATGGATGCTGGATATTTTATTTTGGATATTTTTGGTTTATCTTATGTTGGATTTTTATCTTGGCTTATTATACTCTAATATTCTTTTCTCTCTTGTAGCTAAATGATTTTGATCTAACAAAAAGAGGAGAAAATATCAAAAACACTTTTGATTAAATTTTTGTTTTTGATATAATTTTTTGATTAAAAATTATTATAGCCTTAAATTCTTTTTTCAAAAGAGTTAAATAAAAATTCATTGTTTTTTAATGATATATTAATTTAACAAATTTATAATAAATTTTGAATTAAGAAAATTTTTACAAAAATATTTTGTTATATAAAAAAGAGAGAGATCGATAAACATGTATATATTATTTGTAAAATTAGTTTCAAGTCCTTAAAATTTGTCCAGTCTTTAAAATAAGTCTTTTAAATTCAAATTATGTCAAAAATATCATTCAAACTCTTTAGAAAAAATTTTAAAGTCATATCTTTCTCAAAATGTCAAAATTTGTCTTTTAAAACAAGCTTTGGCCAGAAAGTTTCAAAACTTTTATAAGAGTTTCGAAACTTGCCAAAATAGTGGAATTTAGAGTTTCGAAACTTCACAAGAGTTTCGAAATCTCCCTTGTAGTTTCAATACTTTGGGTTACAACGATCATATTTTTTAATTTCTCTTTCAAAGAGTTTCAAAACTTTCCTCATAGTTTTGAAATTTTGTGTGCAGATAGCCTTTAATGCGTAAATTTAATGCTTCAAATGGCTCCAAACTCCCTCCAACAATCTTAAACGACTAGAAATCAATAAAAGCATATAAAAGGAGTCTTGAAACATCCAAGAAGAGACAAGAAAGTTATTCCAACAATCATAAAGCAATAAGAGCCGAATTTGTATTCCATTGGGTCTTTCTTTCATTTGAACGCTATTCTATTAATTGTCAATTTTATTTTAGTGTTCTTGGATATGTGTAAGAGCTTCAATTTGCAAACAATTTATCTTTGCGAGGATATTCAAAAGTTTGCTCATTTGTAATTACTTCTTGGGAAGGGTTGAAAACTCAAGATTTTGGGGTATAAGTATTAGTATTGTGTAAGGTTACACCTTGTCCTAAAAGGATAGAAGAAATTAGTGAATTTGTTGAAATCTTTAGTTAGAAAGCTAAGATAGTGGATGTAGATTTCATTAAGAAAGTTAAACCACTCTAAATCCTTTGTGTCAATTTCTTATTTCTTGCTTAAGCTTCCAACAAATTTTTATTACCAATTATTCCCCTCATGACCAATTTCCTTGATCTATTGACTCAACATTTTGACATAAAAAATACGAATATATAAAAATACTAAAACTTTTCTTTAAGTATGTGATTTGACATAGTGGTTATGAGGGTTTAATCTATTATGATTTTAATCTCCGATTCCCCTTGTTATCATTTATATTTCATTTTTTTCATAAATTGAATAAGTTATATTAACGATTTTGTAAAAAAAAAAAAAAGAAAACTTGGGATGCGTAGCTGAATGGTTTAGCCATCACGTTGGATTGGATGCTGGGAAGACCCACGTTTAATTCTACCCTGAAGCATATTCTTGGCTTTCTTCTCTCTTCTCTCTTTAATAGGGTGTCAGGGTGTGACACATGCCAGCACAAGAAAATTTATTTTATTAAAAAATAAATATTTTAAAAAATCCTCTACATAGGTAATAACATATATCACCATTTAATTGGGGATCAAATTTATTTTGATTGAATTAAATTATGACCAAACTGATAGGATATATAAATATTGAGGATTAAATATGAAATTATACCAAATTTTTTAATTGTCATGTCACCTCCTCTACTAAAAGTTAACTAAAGTGGCTTAATTGAAGTATTTAAATAGTTTGGTGATCTGATTGATCAAATCAAAATGTTGATGGTCAAGATGAAAAGGGACAATAGTTCAATGGTCACCCGTGTAGTTCATCCTAAAAAATTTAGGGCACTATTCTTTTTTGTTACTCTTCCGGTTCTCAAGGCTTTGCTTTACTAATCCGGACCAACCCGTATCGCCCAACTGGTTGTGTGGTGAGTGAGTCTCTTAACGAAATTTTCTTCTAACACAATGACTCGAGCTCGAGATATGCTTAAGCGATATCAAACTGTTTACTACTTGAACTCACGAATTTAAGACATTATTAAGAAATCTTAATAAAATAGTTTTGAAATATATATTTAATAAAATTTAATTTTTTAAAATATTTAAAATAATCAGGATATTAATTTAAAAAATTTGACTTTTAAAAAAATTAATAAAAGACAGGAAATAATAAAAAAAAGATTAAAAGAGTATTATTTTAATAATTTAACCAAATCTTCACCAAAAAGAGAAAACAACAAAACTTACTATCAGTCGGAAGTTTTCAACAGATGATGCGTTTCTCTGCTCCACCAAAAATCCACGGCCTTTGTGACATTGTTTCTGCAAATCCTAATAATAGTCGAATAAAAGCATTTATTTCATAATGGCGAATCAAATGAAACCGTAGTTCTTGAAAGCAACATCTCAACACAAATAGCCACTACAACAATTAAGATAAGTTTTACACTTTTTACAGCATACACAAGTGGACTCAAGCCTTTCATCAGACTCTTTACAAATCCATTTTTAACTGGAATTCGAGAAGCTAAACTCATATGCATCAGTTCTGTTCCAGTCCAGATGTTAATGCAAATCCTGCCCTCACGCATTTCTTCATTTTTTTTCTTATAACGTGCTGTTAAATATTTCTGTTTTTACGACTAGCTGCATAAGTATTTGAGTTTACTTCTGTTACCATCAACTTGGGAAACCAAAACATGGAAAGAGATGGTGCTTATGCAGATACACTAGGTGTGGTGGCCCCTTGGTTGGTACTCGATTGATCGAACAAGAATCGCACGACAACACAAGTTATGTTATCTGCACTACCCCTCTGGCATGCCTCTTGCATCAACCGCTTTGCCGCCTGCTCAGGATCCTGTACCGGCTTTATCATTGCAACAGCCTCCTGTGAAAGGGAAAACCAGCAGTTAGGAGGATGGTTGCTAACTATGCTCAGTTCTATAGATTTTCTTCAAACTACTTCTAAGCTCGACAAACACATTGTTGTGGTTCTCGGATGCTGGTAAGATACGAGGCATTGAGTAAAACAATTGTTTCATACCTCATTTGAAACAACATCCCACAGTCCGTCGCTTGCAAGAATAAGGAACTCCAGAGAGCTGTCAATCTTTTCCTCCTGCAACCAAAGAGATATCAGAGTATAAAATGCTCAAAAATCAATATAAATACTAATAGCAATGATTTCACAATTAGGGATCCTAAAAGAGTTTTAAAGACATCAAGGCAGGACTCTAACAAGCACAACTGCGAGCAAAATGGCTAGGGTTCTGCATTACTGGGTTCTATTAAAATTATGGTGTGCAAGTACATCCTAGAGACACGGCATATTTCAACAAAGTCTTCGGACAGACCTGAATTTCTGGGTCAGCAACAACATATTGCTTCAAGAGCCTATCACCAAATGCACGAGAAACAGCAAGGACACCTCCTACTCTCCACGTTCCTAAGGAGACATTTCAGTCATAATAAAAGGAAGAAATTTAAGGCATCATAGCAAAGCATAAAATAGAAAAAGATAGGAGGATAAGAGGGGAAGGAGAGATGGTGAGAAATAAACCCTCACCAGCCCACATGACAAATCCTCCTGCGTCCTCAATCCGTTGACGCTCATCAGTTTGATCTGGCTTATGATCGCGGGAAACAGCAATAGCTGTAAGGGGAAATATTGTATATAAGTCACACCAAGACTTTAGTGATAACATAATCATTTAAAAGATTTTCAAAAGGGCTGACATATTCACACCTACACCAAGATAGGTGAAGAAGTATAGAAGAATGCACAGTGTTAAAATATTCTCAATGAGTTTTAGTTTTACAGGTCAAGTAAATGGCAATTTTATATTTAATTTCATGAATGATTTGAAATCAAAGGAATGGAAACAAAAATAAAAATAATGGATCTTACCATTGCCTCCTCTGCAGATGACAGCACGGGAATCCCCAACATTTGCTACTAGCAACCGATCGCCAACAAGTATAGCCGTAGAAGCAGTTGACCCAGCATCCCTATTCTGAGTATTTTCTGATTTTAAAAATTCAGTGTCTGTATGACTATATGCATCAGCTGGTAAGGTTGGAAACATTTAAAAGAGAAGTTAGGCTGGTGAATTAAAAACCCACTAGAAAATAATACAACTATATGATACAGTTATAATGCCAAGAACCTATTGCAGATTTGGTGTCAGAAATGAACTTTGGATGCCTGATCAAATTATTGAAAAGGTTATGCTTAACATATTCAGCTGCCCGGGCACCTCCATGACCTAAAAAAACCATGCTTGTAAAGATCAGGTTATAACTCAGCATAACTAGCTAGGAGTGAATTAATCATAAACAAATTTTTGGTAAAGAAGACAACAAACCATAGTTTACTACATCAGAATTGTTCTAGTAGTGGAACAACCTAATGAATTAATTATACATTGCTCACAAAAGAAATTAGTTTTAGTGGTAAAAGAAAAATCTTTCTGGCAAAAGTTATGATTTACCATAATAATTCCCAATCCTGAGACAGTAACAGGCCTTTAAGAAAAGGATTCAGATACTGCTAGCATAATGGACCAGATAAAAAATTAACAGAATCCACATGAAATCCTTTCAGAGACGTTCTCTAAGTTGAGACTACAATGTATCATCTTATAAGTTGGTATATATTCTACCTGTAGTTGTCTGGCAACCTTATTTACTACAGTAAATGAATTAGATCTATAATAGGAAACAGATTAAGAAGTGTACTGCTGATGGAAACATAGAGTAATCATGCACACTCTTTAACACAAATAATAACCATCATAGATGTTACAGAAACTATTGACATGTATGTGGCTTATATGAAGCATACACATGGTTTACTAAGGTTGTATGCATGTGCTAGAGGAAGACAAAATTAAGAGTGCAATATACCATCAAAGACTCCAAAAAGACCAACTATTTCGCCATCAACACCATCAATCCTTGTCTCATAAAAATCTTCCATTGAAGACCTTTTCCCTGGAGAGCTTGCATAGCCATAGCTAAACTTCCCATTCTGACTGTTGCAAGGAAACATGAAACACTTGGATTTTAGACATCCTTGGTATCATTCCATAATTTAAGGAAAGATGTAAACTGATAACTAAAGAATTAGCATATTATCATCAAGTTTAAGCAAAACATATTCAAGTGACTTTTAATCTGATAGTTCGTGTGCATGATCATCACTTCAAAATAATGCAAGACACATTTAAGTGACTTTTAATATACTATTTGAGTAAAATATATTTCTTCCTGCATTTCTTTTGCTCCATTCATTTCCAAATGAAGATTTAACAGGGTATAGACCCACAAGAATCTGACATATCAACATGTTCCAAATTTAAGAATATGACCTAATCTTTCCAAAATTTTGGAGGCGAAGCATGCATTACTTCATTTGTCTACCTCCCCCTCTATTTTCCATACTTCTGCTAGATGATAATTATTGCCACTTGCCAGACACATGCCTTATCTAATTGGGATGTGTTTCAAGGTTTGTCTTAAAAGCTCACTATCCAAATAAGCAAGGGCCTTTGTCTAAAAGGCAGTTAAACAGATGTAAGAATTTTAAATCTTAAAGGAGATGTTTCAATTTTCAATGAAAAGCTTGTATATTAAAACTGATTTGTTCAAAATTCATACAAACTAACGGAAATTGGGAATAAATGCCTTGTTGGGATGAAATAAAGCCAGATCCTACAGAAAACGGAAGACAGTAATAATTCATCCTAGGAAATGCAATACCAAAACAAGACAAAATGCCATTACTCCCTAACTTATAAAGAATGCTTTATTCCCAACGACGTTTGAGAACTCATCTCATCACATGCATCAAAAACAACAGCTTAAAGATTACACCTAAGGTTTCTCCCAAATTATGCAGCAACAAATCATTTCAAGATAAATATCCACAAGAATTCAACACATCTAAATGCTCCAAATTTATGGAGGTCAAGCATGCACTAATGGCATAATTCATTTCCGTCTTCTCTCTATTCAGTATTCGTTCACTTTTGCTAGGTGATATTGATTGCAAACAACACACCCTATCTAATTGAGATATGTTCATAAGGTTTAACTTAAAGCATACTGTCCTAGTAAGCAAAAACATAGTCTGAAAGGGAATTCAACAGATATATCAACAATTTCAGATCTCAAAGGAGATGTTCCAATTTTCATCAGGAAGCTTTTTCTTTTTGTTCAGCAAGATAAGTAAATATTATTTAGAAAAAGGCATTAAAAGCCATAAAAGTTCACAACCACAAAATAGGAAACGTAACACCTAAAATCAAATAACAAAACAGAAAACACCAGAAAAGAGAACAAAGCGCCATTCTCTTCTCTCTTGAAACACCAAGTAGTTGAACACCACGAACAGAAATAAATAACAGAAAAATTCAGAATAAAATGCATACAAATTGGACAAGACACGCAAACCAAAACACATGATGTTGAACCATATGGTAATGTGAAAAAAACGGCTAACTTGCAATGCAAAAAAAAAGTATGAATCGAAAGACATTCTAGATCTAAGAAAAGAACGATGAAAAGAGAAAAGGAACCAACCTAAGGCCGCCGCCGCTAATCCGTCCATCTTCAGCATGAACCTGACTCGAAGATTGCAACACGGAATTCAAATAGCCCATATTATTGCTAGAGCTTTCAAAATTTTCCACCTCTTATCCCTTGTATATATATAGGAAACAACAAAAACAGCCGTAATCGACAAATGAAATTTCAGCTGATGATACTCAGAAAAGACGAAGCTGATAATACTCAGAAAAGACGAAAGCCTAATTCTGCAAGCTAATGAAACTAAGCAGTCTTCACGTTTCCGGGATCATCTCAAAATTAAGTGAGTTATCAATCTTAACCTGCAAAGAAATCAAAATTTCCAGATCCAATTAAAAACACATAGATCCTAAGATCTCAATCTCATAATAACATATTAAAAAAATCATAAATAAGCATAATTAAATCATTTAAAAAAATACTTTTCGAAAGCGAACATAACCAATGCAATAAATGAATTTATTAGTTGGTTAAGGCGAGATCATTATTAAGAACTATCAAATAGCTAAAAAAAAGAGAGAGAAATGAACATAAATTGTTACCTCAATCAATCAAGAAGAAGGGAAGAGAAAAGGCAAATCAGAGCCGCTTAAAAGGGGAGAAAAACACGAGACTTCACAAAGAGGGGAGAAGAGAAGAGACGACTAAAATAATACTAAAAACCAGAGGCTGCTGCTGATTCTTTTTGTTTCACCTTTGGTTTGCTGATAACTGAAAACAACCTCCGTATTTTAAAAACCAGACAAAACCAAATTAGATTTTTATTATCTGCTGTGCTATTTTTACTGGTGTTTTTCCTAAAATATCACTTATACCTTATATTATTTTTTGTTAGGTATTCTTTAGACTATTTTTATATGTAACACCTTTTGTAGTAAGGTCTGTCCCTGCCGTTGATATGGAATCACGTGGGGTAAAGTACGCCCCTGCAGCACGTTTTACGTTGATCTGGCATTATATGGGGTATAGCGCGAGACAGGGGTCACGCTTTATCTTTAATGCTGACACGCGTTAGAACGACGTGCCCTTAAGTTTAATTACTCACCTACCCCGGCCGTTCACACCACATTTCCTCCCTATAAATACCTCAATTCTCAATCATTTTCATCACACCAAATCCTCTCAACTTCTCTCAAATACTTTTATATTTTATTTTAACTGTTTAAGGTATATTTTATTATATTTAATATTTTATTTTTAATTTATTTAAGTATTTAAATTTTTTAATATTTTATTTAATTTTTTTTGCATATATAAAATGGAAGGAGGTCTACTTCACTTAGATGGAAATCATATATCGCGACATTTTGCTGATACAGTAACATTTTAACGTTTTAATATAATTTAAATTATTAGTAATAATTTATTTATTTATTTAATGCATGATTATTAGTTTAAAAATTAATTTTTGTAATTATATAATTTTATGAGAGGAACCGTGTATTAGATCCTTTTATTATAAACCTTAAGTTAGTGATACCTAGTTGTGTCTTGTTGTATTTAGTAGAGACTGAATTTGGTCACATAGGTAGATATGAGGGTCACTGTAGGATAGAACCAGACCTTATTTCTGTCTTAGTTGAGCGGTGGAGGCCGGAGACCCACACATTCCATCTTCCGTGCGGAGAGTGCACGATTACACTTGAGGATGTTTCTATGCACCTAGGGCTTCCGGTGGATGAAGATGTGATATCGGGGATGACGCACGGTTCATGAATTGCTTTGTGTCGGGACTATTTAGGACGTGTCTCGGAAAGTTTTAATAGTGGTTAGATACCGTTAAATTGGTTAGATGCCAATTTTCGGGAGTTGAGCGAGGACGCCTCTGATGATGAAGTTAAAATATATGCACGGGCATGCATACTGCAGCTGATAGGAGGGTTGCCGATGCCGGACAAATTGCGCAACCAAGTTCACTGTATGTGGTTGCGACATCTTGGCGGCTTTCGTCTGGCTGGATCACTCAGTTGGGGTTTGACAGTTTTGGCTTTCCTGTATAGGGAGATGTGTCGAGCCACTGACTACAAGAAAAATGCTATTGGCGGATATCTCTTACTGCTGCAGTCTTGGGCATGATACCGATTGCCCTTTTTATGTCTCGTTGTCAAGAATCCATTCGTATTTCCGTTACTATTGATGTAATTATAAAACTGATTTCGTATATTAATCATTTTATACAGTGTATAATAAATTTTATTTTCCTTGAATAGGTGGTCTACTGATAGAAAAAATTAGAAAAAATTAGGGTGCTAATCGATCAGAAGGCTGGCACACATGTATGCATTTTAATGTTTAAAAATCGATTTTAAATTATAGTTGTATAATTAGATTATTATTTTGATAAAAATTATATATATTTGTTTTAGTTTGAATGGGTGTCATATTCTAATGATGATGTGAGGATGATGATCTCACTTGAGTTTAGGGGCACATTAGATGTTTGGATGGCGATGATTCCTTTGATATGTTATGCGATCGTCGAGTGGCACTCCACTGATCGCATGCTCCGGTAATTTGGTTGTTTTCAACCAATTCCTGAAGCACCTCGATATATGGATAAGTTGCATAGCACAGATAGACGTGGCAAGAACGATACAAATTGGCTGGTAAGGCATCATGAGTGGGTCGTACTGTGGGAGGATCGACATCGGCGCCTTCCCCGTAGAGAGCCCATTTTTACTGACCTATTGATGGTTGTTGAGAATTATTATGAGTGGTTCAACAGTAACGAGAAACTGTTTCTGCTTTCCGAGGATGCACGAGGGCAGACCTTTCAACGACGTCGACAGAGACGTTCACCGACACATCACCATCGTCCCCCGACTCGTAGACGGAGAGCAGGTGCTTCCGGTTCATCCTCAGCTGCACCAGCAGGACCTTCACAGCAGTCACCATCTACAACGACTTGCATACCGCAGCCATATGTGATATCGTCACCGTCGTTCCCTTACCTGATGCCACCGCCGCCACCATCACCTGATTTTATGACCCCCGCCGCCGCCACCGTCACAGATTTTTATGACCCATCCTGGAGGATATTATGAGTCTATGTTTGCAGATCCGACTTGGGGTTCATATGCCTACATTTTGGCGGGTTCAGCCTCATCACCCATGGCCGCAGCACATACACCTCCTGTGCAGTTTTCACACTCAACGATGTCTGGGTTTTATGAGTTTTCCCAATTTTGTTAGATTTATTTTAATTTATTTTGTTAAATTTGTTGGACTTTTTTGTTAATGTATTTTGGTTAATTTTGTTTATTACCATTTAATATATGTTATTGTAATTTGTTTATCATTTACCGTTTAATACTTATTGTAAGTTTGTTGTATTTAAAATTATATTCAAATACCAAATTGTTATTGTTTTGATAAAATTTAATAATTGTGTTTGATAACTTTCTTCAGTTTGTCACTTATTGTAAGATCGAATGACATTAACTTGAAGTAAATGCAAATTAAAGTACATGAATTCTTATTTGATAAACAACTACATCATTTCCTCATCAATTGTTACTTGATGACCAGTAGAAGTTGACATGTTTTTCTAGTGTGTCCTGGGTTTCTACAATGCCCACATCTTCTGTCTTGTCTAGATCTTTCTCGAATATCCATATCACAATGAATTCGATTGGATTTTGGACGACCACACTCCCTCAATAAAGTTTGATTTGGTACAATCGGAAGCCAATCCTAAACCTCATCAGTGTCTTTGTCATTACCTATAGGGGGGAACTCAAATTCGTATACCTTAAAAACTTCAGATAGTAGGTATACGGGATCCACTAAATAGTTATAGTCTTGACGTGTATGCGAGCAAGCTGCTATCACATGAGAGCATGGATACTTCAGAGCTTGAAAAACCCTGCAGTCGCATGTTTTGTCCCGTAGATTTACTCTTAACGACACAGCTTCAATCCCTTGAAGAGGTTGCGGCAACTCTGTGACACGAAACATTTCATGTCTTCTAGAGAAGCTTGTTACAGACATTCCATTTGATGCAACAATTTTTTTTTGTAGATCTGCAACTAATCTAGGGTGATAGACATGACCGTCTTGCATCCAGGTTTGAGCTTGTCCCCCGAGCTTCGTAAAAAGCGCCCCCAAACAAAAATATGTAGTTTTTACCAAAGCCGCTACAGGTAAGTGACGTGCACCATTTAAGGTTGAATTGATTGCCTCATCCAAGTTGCTCGTCATGTGTCCATATCGATATCCACCATTATATGCGTTCGTCCACATTTCTTTATCGATGAGGTTGATGTAATCGTATCCTTCTTCGTTTTTCGCCCGTAAATCTTGAAGCATTGATTCAAACGTTTGAGGAAGTAGTTCGTAACCTGATCAAAAAAAGTATAACTTACTAACTTGCTTTCTTTGCAAAATTAAAATGATCGAAAGAAAACAAACTACATCAGTTTCACTTACCATGCGCACAATTAATTGACACTCATCATTCTTCTTGTACCTTCCATGGTAGTTCGCAGCAATGTGTCAGAGATAATACCTATGTTGGACAAAGGGTGGTTGCCACATTGGACCTAAAGACTCCATTGCTGCTTTGATCCCAGCTCCGCGATCTGAAATGACACAGATTTTTTCCCTCGTGATAACATGTGCACGTAAGTTTCGGAGGAAAAAAGCCCAAGAATCTGTATCTTCTCCTTCAACAAGAGCAAAAGCAACTGGAAGAATGTTGCGATTGCCATCTTGGACAACTGCCAATAATCAAACTTTCTTGTATTTTCCATACAATAAAGTCTCGTCGATCTGGACCACAGGCTTGCAATATTTGACAGTATTAACGCACTGTGGGTAAGTCCAAAAAACCCGGTAGAATTGGCATCGATCACGAAGAACTCGATCATTATGGTATGCATAGGAGGTTTCGAAGTCCACAATTGTCCCATGATTCAACCTCCGCATCAGCCTAAACCAGCTTGAAAGTTCGTTGTAAGATTCATCTAATTCGCCATGAAGTTTGATAATGACATTTTATTTTGCCAACCAAGTTTTTTTATAGGAGACAGTGTACCCATACTACAATTGTATAGCTGAAATCAATACAACAACAACTATATGAGAGCTTGCTTTTACCATGGGCATGATGGCTTGGCATATAACTTCAAAGTCCAAGTTGGGATGATCTTGGTTGACCCCTCCAGCACAATATGTGTGAGGACAGTTGTATACTGTTAGTTCTCATCTGTTGTTTTTCCTCTTCCTCTTCGATACGCGAACCATCCAATTGTATCCGTTTTTGCGTCGGGCACAATAACATACATATTTTTTTATTGTTGAGCGGTCGACTCTCGATTGAACATAATTACGGATATTATAATTTTTATAGCCATCATCGCTTCTTCTTTGCTCAAAAACTCAATGCCTAAAGATAACTCACCATTATTTATTGATGAGTAATATCCATAGTTACCGAGATGAGACATATCTGCAAATTCTAGCCCGTACATTGCACCATAATCAGCTTTATACATGTGTGCTGGAGGGTCAGTTTGTGCCACATTTAATGGAACTTCATCTACATTATCATCATTATCGAAGTTGAATTGTTGTGATTCTGGGTGAATGAATAGTCTAGTCTCAGCACCATCCGCACCAGGCTCACAAAGCGGTTCTTCTGGTGGAGATGATGATTCATCCATGCTCTCCACATTTAGGTCGAATAACCTACTACTTGCACGTCTTCCCCTTGAACTAGA